GCAAATGAAAAAAAAATGAATCTCTTTGGAATAGGAGTATCCTAGAAGAGTGCATTATTTTTATTTCTTTCTTCACTGTATGAGATATCAAACTAATAATGCTAGCTCTCTGTACTTTACTACTGGATAAAGGCACCTATATCTTCCTTTTAATTAGCTGTATGACTTCTAGTGCAAATTTAATAAGGAAAACATCCTTTTTTTCATAAACCACACTCACTTTGAACAGTGCTACTCAAATATCTGTAATATTGTTTTAAAGACATATGAAATATTGCTAATATTGTAGTTAAAGAAACCATGATAGTTTATTATATATTGTCCATAACACAAAAACCCAACTTGTTTGCCTGAAGTATATCAGCTATTCACAAAAATAAAATATAGTTAGCTTTCTAAAGAAAGTTGAAAACCTGAATGGAATCTCTGCATTTTATCCTTTTATGCCTGAAACTAATAAATGATTCAGCAGATGGCATCAAATCCAGTTCTGAACCAGCCTGAAACATTACAGCTGGCAGTCAGATGCAAACCATTTGTATGCACACATAAGTGAGACAAAGAGTTTCTGTTCTGCTAAAATCTGCTGATTTACTACTGTGATAGAGATCATAGGATAAAAGTATCATAACGTCATAACAGATTGATTAGCATTGTCCTTCAAATCATTTCTTTCAAATTAAAATTGGGACAAAGAAAAGATACACAATACAATGCAAAAGCATTTTAAATCAGTACCGCCTTAATTTCCTAAAAGGACATCTGGTCCTTTTAATCCTGCATTAACAGTGTTTTTCAAATTTGCCAACTTTAAGGTGTGTGGACTTCAACTCCCAGAATTCCTCAGCATTGTGTCATATTTAGATGAAATAAGATTAGGATGTAATGCAGAGTTTTTCAAAGTTAGCTTTCAGGGTGACTGAGAATTTCTTGGGAAAGTGACTTTGACTTTTTATAGTTAAAAGGTGGCTCTGTTCTCTACTTCTTGCCCATCTTTCAGTCTCTTTGCATGTCCTATGGACGGCTCTGCTTCCTGATCTGTAAAAGTTCCACAAAAGAAATTATGATAATTTCTCTTGAGATTTCTGCAACAGATTGTACAACAAAAGATAGTATATTCATAAAATATGTTCTTTAGCCATTTCATCACTAACATGAACAAGAATCACATACACATGAAATTTTCATTAAAAAGTTCTTCCCTCTGGGACAAAAAAAAGTGATTTTTCCAATTAAACCAAAGGACATTGGTTTAAGTAATCACAGTAAGTCTGGGCTTGCTATTTAATTCTGCTCTGAAAAACAGAGGAATCCAAATAAGCAACTTTAATATATTTTTCTTCAATATAAAGTAGTTTCAGTACAGCTATTGGTCACCATATAGCTAATTTTCATTCCCACTCATCCCATTTGTTATTTCCAGGACTGTTTAATCTAACACAGCTGTGGAAACCCCCTCCCTCTTTTTATGCTACCAGGGAACAAAATTCCAATATAAATTCCGACTTTGTTTTCATCTTGATCTAGGCACTGGGTCTGCACAACCGAATGTGCCCAGCAATAATTTGCTTTACTGAAATGTTGTATTGCTGCCCGGGAGTCACTTTCGGTGTGATGGACAGCCTTATATATTTGATTAATAAATAAGTAAACTTGAGATCAGACTGTAACCTTCCAGCAAGAAAACAGAAAACAGGGAACACCTATATTGAATAATGTATGCATTTATTGATTGATTTATAGGGCTGCCCATTTCACCTAGCTGCCTCTGAGGGGCTTATAACAGTTAAAACAGTAATTTAATAAAAAGGTTAAAAACCAATATAGAAACATATAAAACATCAGAAACCACTTAAAACCCAAGAATAACCATGGGCAGTGACCAAAATCCATCCTTTCATCAAGCGCCTTTACAAAGCCAGTGTAAAAACTCCCCACTGTTGGTGGACCGGCTGATCAAGGACAGAACCTGAGAACGAAATGTGAAACTACACCAGAGAGATGCCAAACCTCAAAGCCATTCCCAAAACATCCGAAACGAAGGCTATTGGACACTGATGGACTGGTCAAGGGGGGAGGGCTGAGAAAAGGGGGGAAAACTAAACCTTTAGGCAGGAATACTCAGATCCGGCTTTGCTTTTGCAGTAACCACTTAACTTTAGTAAAAGAACTTTTCACTTCAAACAATAGAGTTGAGAGTCTTTCTTTCCTAAATGTCTGAGTTGAGACAAGCCTGACACTAAGCGTGGTCATACAGCCATGTCTTTAGGGACTTTAGGAGGTATAACGGCACAGTGGTTAGAATGCAGTATTGCAGGCTGACTCTGCCCACTGGCAGGAGTTCGATTCTGACGGGGCTCAAGGTTGACTCAACCTTCCATCCTTCCGAGATCAGTAAAATGTGGACCCAGATTGTTAGGGACAATATGCTGACTCTGTAAAATGCTTAAAGAGTGCTGTAAAGCACTATGAAGAGGTACATACATCTAAGTGCTATTGCTATTCCTACCTTCCTAAAGGCCGGTAGAGACAATCTAAAATTGGGGCGGGGGGGGGGGAGATTGATGTCTTAGCTGGGAACTTCAGAAAAAAAAACAATTTATAGAGGGAAAACTTAATAATGCAGGGCTTTCCTTGTGTTGATTTATCCTGCATAATGGAAAATTCCACTCCATGCACGTCTGTTACCAAAGAACAAGCTAAAATACCAACAAGCGTAATAAAAATAATTATTTGCCAGTTTCCTTTTATTACGTAATTTATACTATAAATATAATTTGAACAAAGACTTATTTATTCTAAAAGTAATGACTGAACTTTCAATATGAGATTAGGTTGAGTTTTAATTTTTTTTAAAGGAGTTATGCAATATCCAGACAATTAGCCATTTTGTCTTATATTGTACTCGTCTCATTTAATCATACTTCAGCTGACTAAATGCAAAGCTGATCTAACATCATTTTTAGCCCTGTTCATTCATTTAATAAAAATGCAACTTTACGATAGAATGTTACTTGTGTAAAACTAAGTTAAATGTGATTAAGTTATAATTAAAAAAATGAGTTGTAAGATGCACCAATTGCTTTTGACAAATTTACTATCTGTAAACCTGATTCAGAAATTCTTGGGACTGACCTGTGCCATTCTGCACAGGCAGGGCTTCTGTACATTTTAATATTTTCAGCTTTTTAAAATTTGCGTATGCAAGTTGTCAACTTATGACCACAACTGAGCCCAAAATTTATGTTGCTAAATGAGAAATTTGTTAAGTGAATTTTGCCCCATTTTACAAGTTTTCTTGACACATTTATTAAATGAATCACTGCAGTTGTTAAATTGGTTGTTAAGTGAATCTGGCCTCCCTATTGGCTTTGCTATCAGAAGGTTGCAAGAGGATCACATGACTCTGGGACACTGCAACTGTCATGTGAGTCAGTTGTCAAACATTCGAATGTAAATCATGGGACCATGGGGAGGCTACAACGATCATAAGTGTGAAAAATGGTTAAAAGTCACTTTTCTCCCTGCTGTTTTAACTTCAAATGGCCACTAAATGAACTGTTGTAAGTCGAGGACTATCTGTACTCAAGCCACTACCTTATGATATTTTGGCATTGCTAATGCTGGTTAACAGATCCTGTTGTGCTTTTATATAAGTAGTCCAGTGAAGTCAGCAGGACTACTTCTTGACAGCTGTTTCCCATTGCTGAGATGAAGTGTTCTTTATCCATCTTTCACTTGCCAGAAAACAGGAAACCTGCAATCTCGATCTCTATTCTGCCTCTCTTGACTGCAGTTCTTGTCAGGGCAGTGAGGAAAATGGGAGACAATACTTCATAGACTTTGAACTCTCTAAGGGTCAGAATAAGTTCCCAAACACTACTTTAGCATAAGTACAGATAATGACGGCTTAAGCCTGTCTCGAGGGATGGGGATGAGCTGACAGCTATGTCAAGAGGCCATGAGAAAAAAAAAATATGTTGCTAGGGTATGTTTGTATCATGATTAGGAGTAACAAGGGAAAGGCCCTAAATCTTTAAGAGGCTTAAGAGATTCCCCCTCTCCCCCAATGGTATTTACTGTGCCTATTCGGAATACAACCATCAGTTCTCCCTCCCCTTTTTTTTGGGGGGGGGGGGGAAATGGCTTCAAATCAATGTTGACTCCTGGCAACTCTCTGGACAAGTCCGGGCAATTTTCTTGGCAAGATTTTCTAAAAGTGACTCGCCGTTGCTTTCCTAGAGCCGAGAGAAAGTGCATTTGCTTTTCTAGAGACTGTCTGTTCAGAGGCATCTACATTTTTTTTTTCTAATTCCGAAAAACTAAAATCGCGCAAGATAGAAAGACCAAGTTTATAGACATCCAAAATTGGCTTTGGGCGTTGAAGGGAGAAGAGGAAAACCCTCTTTCCGGCTTTCCTTCTCTCAGACCAAACTACCAAATCGAGCGAACCGGGTACTGTCGAGATTGGCAGGAAAAACAAACCCACTTGCAGAGGGGGCGTCCTCGCAGCGGAAAGCGCGCCGTGGCACCTTCACCCCGGTATGTCTTGAAGGCGACAACCCACTGCCGGGGAGGCCAAGCCGCTTCTTCCCAGACAGCCGAGGGAAAGAACAAGAGGTAAAGGCGGACGTCTGCGCACGGAGGCGGATTTGGAAAGGGCCGTGCGAAACGTTAACAGGATTAATCTCTTCCGACGCCCGAAGCGATCCGCGCTTCTTCCCCCCCCCCCACCTGTAAGGCTCTCCTCAGTCCGGCTGTTTCTCTCTCGCGCCCTCCCTTCCCCCCCCCCCCCCGTCCCCGGCAGCGGGAACGGGCAGCTGCAGCCTCTCACGGAAAAAAAATAGCTGCTCCAGCGCTTCGCCGGGCGAAAGGCAGCTCGAGGAAGGCGGGCAGATCGCAGAAAGGGAAACTGGGAAGAAGCCAGGGAGTCTTTACTCTCCCGCCCCCCCCACCCTCCCCCGAAGCTTTGGAAGAAGAGGCGGTGGAGCGCTCCACCGGGAGCGCTGCTCTCGCTCTGCAGGAAAGCGCGGTTTCCCTCTGGCGTTTGCAGCCGGGATTATTTTTCTTTTTTCTTTTTCCCCTCTCCCCGCCTCCTTTCCCGGCGAAGTTTTCCAAGGTGTGGTTTCAAAAGCGGCGTCCCATCCCTTCGGCTCCCGCTGAGCTCCGCGAAGGAGGAGAAGCGCCTCAGCTGGGCAACCGGTGTTAAGAAGCGCCTCGCAACTTTGAGAAGGGGGAGGGGGGAGGAGAAGAAGGGAGAATGTGGAGTGTTTTTTCAGAGACGCCGAAGCGGCGAGAAACCAGCAGCAGCAGCACCACCACCACCACCACCCAAGTCTAAGCTTTCGACCGCCGCCAGCAGCTCCAGACAGGTGAGCTGAGACCCAAGCGGTTTCCTTCGCGCCCTGCAGGGGAGTAGGCGTAGTTTGCATTCCGCCCTCCGCCGGACTTCGACCTGGAGCGTATAGTCGTCTTAAAGAGGAATGGACGGTCAGACCTGCTCGGCCTCGAGCGACGTGGCTCTTTCCAGGTAAGCACCCGCTCTCCTTCCTGCTTTTCCAAAAGGAAGTTTTTGTCGCCGAGAGGCGAAAGGCGAGCCCGGTTTAGCAGATCCGCGAAGTTCAACGGGGGTTAAGTGGCTTTCCTGTTCCTCCACCTCTTACTGCCCCCCCTCCTTTAAAAAAACAAAAATAAAACTTACCTGGCTAAAAGATCAGTGCTTCACCTAGGGCAGATTTGGGGATGATGGACCTGTGGGAGACGGTGACCAGCCGCCCTTGGGAGGGCCAGGAGCCGTCTCCTCTGCCTTGGCGGTGGTTTGACTGGGAATGGCAAGTCTGGCTGAACTTTAGAGGAGAGCGTCTCATAATAAAGACGCTGAGTTTCTGGATAAACATGCGTACAGTTGTATTGTGCACCTTGCTTGAAAAGCACAAAATACGAAGACCCGAAACTTGGTTGCAAATTCAGCTGGATTACTTGCTCCTTATTCCTTAGGTAGGGTTCAGTTTTCTGTGAGAGGTGGAAACTGGGAAGGAATTATTGTGAATGCCCTGAAATCTGCCCGTGTTGCCATTCTCCTTTTTTTTTGGGGGGGGGGGGGGAATGATTATTAAAAGATTGAGGGAAGAAAAAAAGCTCAGTTTGAAAGCAAAGATAAGTTAGCAACCCTTGGCAGAGAGGAATGTGAGTATGGTATGCTGTGCTGGTGGAATAGTAATTCACCTTACAAAGTGTTCCTATTATCTTGGGTAAAACAATTACACCTTAGCTCTGGAAAGGACAAGTCAGTCAAACTTGATAAAAAAAAAGCTTATTGTTGGATTTCTAAGTGTTGAAAGATAGTGCCTTCCTTGTGCACGTTGAAAACAAACTTGAATAGTTGTATGGATTTAATGTCATATTTTACAAGGACTGAGAAATCTCTCATGCAGTCTCTGAACAAGAAAATGTATTTGCATGTTAATGGAGCAAACAGGTGTGCTAATTATAACCATAAACTATTTTTGGCTTACTGTACAGATAATTTAGTGCAAAGAAGTGCATAAGAGTATTAGATTTCTGTGTTTATCTTCCTTGGTTGGTTTTGGGGAGAGCTATGGAAAGCTAAAACAAATGCTGTGTAACAAGGAAGCATGAAACGTTCTTTTTGGTTCATTGGAGAATTTAAATCCAAACATTATTTCAAAGTTGATAAGTTTCATGCAAATTCCATCTAAACTATTTCACATGCCCTTAAATCTTGAGGGGGGAGGATAATAGAGGACATCTAGGAGTAGGATAGTGGAAGAAAATATTTTAGAATAATATTGTAATGCAACTGTTATAATTTAGCAATAATTTAAGTAAAAGAATGTAATATATATTTTGTGTATAGTACATATAAATTGTTACTTCTTTGCATGAAGGCAAATATTATTTTCATTGCATTTTCCCATTTGGCTGAGTTTTTCAGTACTCCGACATAACTGTTCTTTTTTATTGGGGATATATGCGGGTCAGTTTTAGTCTCCCATCAGTTAAGAAGACAAGAACTGCAAAGCAAGTGGTTGTGCAAATATCATAAGTATTTGTGGAATGTGTGTGTGATGCTACTATTGTGAATTTCTTGTTAAGAACACCTATCAAATTTTAATATTATGAAAGTCTAACTTATTTAGAGGGCGAGTGCTTGCTTGTTGCACTAAAGTACAAATGCCATAAGCAAAATACCTGCTTACTCAGAGGTATATTCCTGCTTAAATAGCAGTGCAGAAAATTTGAATTGCATATCTGACAGAAGTACAGAAACCTTATAGGAACCGCTCTGAGGATCCACATTAGCTGCTTCTGCTTCCAAGTGTTGCTTTTGAAACTTACTGGAACGTATTAGGGATTTCTGCAGTGAGAAGCTAGAACAGGGGTGTCAAACTCAATTTCATTGAGGGCCGTATCAGCATTGCGGTTGTCCATGGGGGGGCAGGTAGGTGTGGCCAGGGTGTGCATGGTCTACTGGGTGGGCATGGCTGGAGTGGGTGTGGCTTACTGAGTGGGCATGGCCAGCTCTACATCGTTCGCGTCAAGGGGGCCTGTGGGGGCCTGGGCAGGAGTGGGACAGATCTGAGGGTCTCTGGCAGACGGGGGTGAGACCAGGGCAAGCACCAAGGCATGGCCCACTGGAAGAGCCTGCCAAAACCCCTCCCCTGGAGCCCATCAAGCCGGATATGTGAAGTAGGCGAGGGCCATTTGCTGGCCACTTCCAGGCGATGGTGCATTTCTTCATTCCTCACAAAGGGTGACAACTCCCCAGCATGCACCCAGGGGACGGGGCCAATGGGGCAGGGGCTGGTTCCTTGCTGTTTCCAGACGGCCTTGTGGAGCTAAGACTGAATGCGTTTCAGCATAGATGGCCACCACAAAATTGTACATTGGCTCCCGGCCGGCCTGGACCGGGACCAAAGTAGTGGGGGCCATTCCCTCACTGTTTCCAGGATGGCTTCGTGGGCCACATGAAATCACGTCGCGGGCCGCATCTGACCCTCGGGCCTTGTGTTTGACATGTCTGAGCTAGAAGGATGGAATCACACCTTTCTGGTGGGCTTTTGAATCATTGGAAAGCAGTGGGAACTTTTGCTTCTTCTAAGTACTTCCAAATCCAATAAGAAATTGATGACCTTTCCTTAAGTTTTTTTTATGCAGGGACAAGTGCTGAAAAAGCTTTCAAAGAAATTCTAATTTCTTCACAAACAGTGAGTGTATGTATGTTGGGGGGGGGATTTGTTTCTGTTGTGTAGGATTGGGATATAAGTGATTGACTCTGGATTTTGAGGGTGGAGAGATGTCGCAGAAACTGAAATGCAGTTGGGACAGACTGGGGAAACCCTATGTTTTCTCTCTCTTTTACATTCTCAGAGATACAGTGTAAGGAGTTAACAGTTGCTTGTTTGTGTACACAAAATAAAGAACAGGTAGTTCAGCACATGACAGCTTGTCAACCTGAAAAATATTCTGAAACAAATAGGTGTTATTTCTGGTGCACATACTTCTGAGCCTGAGATCTCGAGAGGGTGGTTGATCCAAGTAGTTTCCCCTCTACATACATAGTACATTGTATATTATACTCTACAAAGTGGCTTAAACAATGAAGGCAAGTGTGAGAGAGTACTTGTTTGTTTTGCAAATAATCTTACTGATCTTTTGTATGGTGCTTATGTGTAGTGTTAGTAGTAGTAGCACAAAGAATATATTTGCAAACTTTCCTGTAGATTATGATATGAATTTATTTTTTTAAGCATCAGGCCAGAACCTGTTCATATTAATAAGTAGGAAATCTGTTGGACACTAAACCTATATTAAAGGTCTCATTGTGTAGAACTCTTTGTAGGTGACTGAACTATTGAAAAATTGCAGGAAAATATTAGTAATGTATGTAAGACAGAAAAAAGCTAAAATGAAGCAGGGAAATGAATCAGCTTCTTGTTTATTGCCTATGCTTTATTACAAACTAATGCAGGGGTGTCAAACTCGCCGCATCACTTGACATGTCATGACATATCGTGATTTTTTTTTGCCCCCTTGCTGGAGCTAGGATGGGTACGGCTTCCGTATGATGCATCCAGCCCGTGGACTGGCAGTTTGATACCCCTGAACTAATGGAAAAGGGAAAATTATATTCTAAATGCTGCCTGTTTTTTTTAACAATGATTACATCCAATATGATATTAATATAGAAAGCATGCTATATGGTTTCAGGATCAGAGCCAATGTGTATATTTGAATGACCTGAAGGTGTGTTAACATTGTTCAAGGAAACTAAAGCTACAGTGTGGGAAAGGCAATCTGGCCGTCTAAGTACTTGGAAAATAGACCACCTGTGAACCATATGTAAAACCATGCTGATCGCCATAGAAGAAAGTATGAATTAGGCCTATATAAATCATTTGGTAGGATTTCAAACATTGGAGAGTTGTGGGCGTGGTTTGGAACATCTGTTTCATTGACCAGGTCTGGTGGAGTGCTCAGAGCCCTCTAAAATAACTTGCCTAGCTTTAGTACAAATACTAGGACTGCATAGTACTGGATTCTGTTCCAAACAAAGTACTGAAGAGAATACAAGACTTAGTACAATACAAAATATAATACTTACTCACAACTCTTTAAAGTAAATATTTCGTGAATCCAGGAAAAAAGTGCCACTGCTTTAAAAAGGACCAAGTAGATGCTGTAGGTGTTGATTCCCTTCATTCTTTTCAGACAAAACGTTGAAAAAGAAATATTCAGTTTAGTATTGCTCCACTTTACTGCTATTTGTTTGTTGCTGTCATAGCTACTATAATGACTTGTGCATATAGAAAAGAGAGACCCATTGACCTGTCAGATCAAATGAATCAGCATTATCTTTTAAAGTCATAAATTAAGCAATATATGTGTTTCCCAAAAATTGTGTCTGTCTACTCATATTAACCCTAGGTTATTCTAAATTGCTGTCCACTTTGTTTTTCAAAAAATATTTTGGTTATAATTATTTAACTAGTAAATTTGTTCCCTTGTAATGGTTTACTGTAGCACAAGATCCCCTTGCCTCTGTCGCTGAAGTAGGTTATTGGAAAAATTGTGTAATCACAAAAAGAGACAGCCATTTCTTCTGAATGGATGTCTAAAAACATAGTAAGGTCCCATCTATATTTTGATGCAGAGATTGGTTTTAAACTGATGACAGTTTAAATGATAAGCAAATTCTTTGTTTTCCAATTATCTTTTGTAGTTTTGCATAGAATACAGTCCTGAGATATTCTAAGCAGATCCTTTGCTCTCAATTGTATCCTTGAATTATTTTAAAAATAAATTACAATTATATTTAAATGCAGTGATGGTGATTGTAAGCATCTATTCTAATGGAGCTATAATTAGCAATTACAGAGACCACAGGATTTCAATAAACTACTCCTTTTCTGGCCACCCTATTGTCGTGCAGAGTGAATCCTAATGCTTAACAGTGTCATTGCCTGGTATGAATCTTTAGTATCGGTTACAGAGAGCTGGTCCAGCGAAAGAAAGTCGGTATATGGCAGGTGTAGGCAATCTTGGCTCTTTTATGACTCGTGGATGTCAACTCCCAGAATTCCTGAGGCAGCATGGCTGGTTCAGGAATTCTGGGAGTTGAAGTCCACGAGTCACAAAGGTTGCCTACCCCTGGTATATAGTAAAGTTATGTTACCTAATTAAACGAGCATCAGCTATTGCAGTGTTTCTCAACCTTTCTAATGCCGCGACCCCATAATACAGTTCCCCATGTTGTGGTGACCCCCAACCACTTATACATCACCCAGTGCCAGGAGCGTGGCCAAAGAAAAGGGGGAAAAAATGTCGGATAGCCTTGTTTGGCGACCCCCGTGAAATGGTCGTTCGACCCCAAATGGGGTCCCGACCCACAGGTTGAGAACCACTGAGCTATTGGATGGTTTAAAAAGTTTTAAAGATAAATTATTGGATACTGTTGAGAAAAGAGAAATATAGTATTGGTACTCTAATAGCAACAGTGCAATTTCTGTCTAGTTTACAGATAGTCCTTAGCTTATGATCACAGCTGAGCCCAAAATTTCCATCACTAAGCAAGACAGTTCTCAAGTGAATTTTGCTCCATTTTACAACCTTTCTTGCCACAATTAAGAGAATCATTGCAGTGTTAAAGTTAGCAACACTGTTGTTAAATGAATCTGGCTTCCCCCATTGACTTTGCTTGTCAGAAGGTCGCAAAATGTCATCGCATGACTCTGCAACCGTAAATAATACATGCCAGTTGCCAAGTGTCCAAATTTTGATCACGTGACCATGGGGATGCTGCAATAGTTGTAAGTATGAAAAACAGTTATAAGTCACTTTTTTCAGTGCTGTTATAACTTTGAATGGTCACTAAATGAATGGTTGTAAATTGAGGACTACCTGTATGGGTCTATTGGTGAGGATGTGATTGCATGTTTGCTAACAATTCATACATCCCCTCACCATGATGCAGTATTAAATTTATATTCCAACATTTCATCATTTAAAAATAAAAACACATTGCTGAAATCATAAACAGTAGCTTCTAATTATAACCTGTTAGTTTAAAAAAGGTTAGGATTGGAGGCCAAAGCTCCAAGGATAGAAAATTGGTAATGTTTGAGTGAACTTTTGTTTTTGCCTTAATCTGTCACTGCATCAATACAATATGAAAAATAATTTAGACCTTCCCCAAGCTTTGCAGAAGTATTCAGACTACTGCCAGAATGCACAAATTACATGGAAATAAACCATGGTGACTTGGAATTATAGTTGCGTTTGTTCTAATAATGTGAGTGTTCCCCAAACAGGAGGCAAGACTGAATAAATTAAAAAAACATCACTGCTGGAAGATATGAGCCTGATGCAAACTGCTTTACAGTAATCTTAAATACCTAACCAAATAGAATGAAATGCCCAAATGTACAGTATCTAAGGTTTTTTTTTAAAATTAACTTAAATAATTGCTATCTTTAACCATATGGTACAGGTGAAGCCAGTTAAAAAGTTAGAACAGTTTTCAAATTTCCTTGAGTTGGGATTTGCCTACGGGCTTCTTACCATATAGATGTACCTTATAAAAATGTTTTCAAGTATTTTTTCATTCAACATTCAGATGTGGCTCAGAGGCTTTTCTCTGCCTGACCATGAGAGGCATTTTAATTGTGAAAATGTCAGAATAGAACTCTTGAATCAAAATCCTTAGTAAGTTATGAAGCTTATAGGTTGACTTTATTGATCCTTACCCCAACCAGCTTAGAAGCTTGCATGTGAGAAAAAAGAACAATGTTCTTAGAAATTTTGTGAAGCGAAGCGAGATAAAGTTGTAGTAGTTGAAGTATTTATAGAAAGGAATGCAGGAACACACAGAATACAGTGGCTTAAGCAGACTTAACTTGCCTGGTAAGCAAATCCCTTCTTTAATTAATCATGTACAGTACTAGGAATTTTGTCTTCAA